GCACCTGACTCTAATCCTACAAGATCCCTGACTTTGTGAAAGTGTACAAAGTGTTCAAGTGTAAGAACTGATGCTAGTTTGAAAGCAAAGGGTAGTCACACCAAATATTGATTTGGATTTTTCTTCTGTTTGCTTACTTTGGATTTTGTAAATTGATAAACAATTACAATATATATTTTTGAAAGCATTCTTACTTTACAGCATTTTTTCACACTTGCCTAAAACTTTTGCATAATACTGTACTTCAAACCTTTCAGACTTATCAAGGTTTAAACAATGACTTTTGTAATGAGACATAGAAAAGGTTTCCTTCTGATAACTCTATAGATGTAGATCACTGCTGTATAATAAGCAGTGCTTTACCAGGGGTTTGAACAATGTCAGCTAAACTCTTTAGAAGGTCATTTGCAGTGATCTATGAGTTCTGTTTTGCAGACCTGACCAGTTCGGGGACAATTCTAGTGGAGATTTTTCTTGATTTTCAAACTAATGTCCTACAGTTAATAAAGCAATTAAAACTGAAAAGAGGTTGGATAGTTCATCAAGACAGTATACAAAACATACCCATAATCAATTATAGGAAAGAAAGGTCAAAGATTTTGGAATGGCCCTTATATCCTCAGGCTATAAGATTACTGAACATCTATGGGAAGATCTCAAACATGCAGTGCATGCAAGGAAACCTAAGAAAATTTCTAAGCTTCTATAAGAAAGATAGGGGGAAATCTAAAAACAAAAACAGAAAAATTCTTAGCTGACTACAAGAAATGTTTGGAACCCATTATTTTTACCAAAAGACACATTGCAAAGTACTGACTGAAAAGGTGTCCATATTCAGCATCTGTCATATTTACGATTTTTAAATTGGAAACTGTAAACAACTGCACGTGAATACTAAGTATGCATTCAAATTTGTAGAAAAGTATATTTAACTGTGTACCATGCAGAGACTGAGTTAGTTTTTTGTTCACTTAAGGACTCATTGAAATGTACAATTTAACAGGGATGCCTAAAATTCTGTATACAACTATATGCTTAAGAACCTTGCTTTTATCAGTATCTATCAGTTGTGTGTATGTATGTATGTGTGTGTATATATATATACACTGATCAGTATATGTATGTGTACACACACTGATTTTTCATTGCTTTGTAATAAAATAATAAAAATGTGTGTACCTGCTTGTAAAAATCAGTAGAAGGAGATGATCTGGACCGTTCATGTTTATACTGAGATTTCTCAAGTTGTTCAAGGCCTGCATCAAGGATGTTATCAGCTGAATGGTACTTTCCAGAACTACGGCTTTCTGTAGGTTTCTTCTGTTCTTTCCAAGAAGCCTGGTATTCTGCAAATGTTTCTAATCTCTGAGGTTGTCTGGATTTTGTGATGTGGTCACTGTAATGGACACTTTCACTGAGTCTATCAGAAGCACAAAGCACATTTTCAACTCCCAAAGAAGCTGACCGCATTCTCTTTTTGTACCATGATCCTCCAGATTCAATTTCATTAGAGTTTCTACGAGGAGCAGCAGGCTCTGCTTCTGGACGAAAGTACGGTGCACCTCTCTGTGAAGATTTTTGACAGACTGGCTTACTAGTTTCTTCAAAAAACTTCCGTTTATCTGCAAAAGTTTCCAAAGTTTCCTCAGAAGTGGTTGGACGATGGTGTGTGTGGCAGTTATCATCTGACATACCCACTTCATTTATTTTCTCAGGCTCAGAATAAGACTTTAGTTTTTGTTCTGCAGTGAATCTCTTCCTAGCACCAATACGTGAAAGATGGTGAGCACCATTACCCAGTGATATCTGTTTAGAAGACTGCCTAAGTTCAAGGAAGCCTAATTCATCTTCAGAAACAAATGCTGATGGAGAAGTATTATATATATTTGCCTTTCGGTCTGGAAGATAATCTGCAGAATTGGGTTCCAAGTCTCGGCGCTGAAAAGAAGTGGCCTTCAAGACTCTAGCTTGGGCCTCTTTCAGATTATCCTTGTACATGTGAGAATAACAACTTTCCGATGAAGAGGCTATCTTTTCTTGAGGATCAGGCTTCCAGTTCTCAGTACAGTCTTCTTCCTCAGTTGGCTCTACTAAGGCAGCTGTGCTTTTGCTTTTTTGAAGCTTTGCTCTCTTCATTTGGATTTCATTTCTCAGTGTGGTAGCAAAACGATCACTCCTTCGTGCATTTTTGCTTAGGTGAACATCAAATCCTGCCTGTTTATTAATCCCAATTTCGGCAGCAACGTTCATCTGTTTTTTCTCTTCCTGAGCTAAAGAATGCAACATTGGGGTCTTTTGAGGAGAAATGTGATAATTCTTCTCCTGATTCCATTTGAAATCTTTTTGGGCTATTTTAGTATCAGATTCCTGGAAATGCTCCTGCCCGTATTTGTACTCATGATGACCACTGAGATTTTCTTCAAATGTCTTGTTCTGTTCTGATTTTCCAGAGTAACTTAGCTTCCTGGAATCTTCCATTACAACAACTTTAATATCCTCTCCTTTATTAGCTACACAATGAGCTCTCTTTTCACACATATCCAGAGAAGTCTCGATAAATTGCTGAGGTAGAGAATATTTAAGATTTTGGCTCATTATGGTTATGGCAGGATCTTCACTTGATCCAGAAGCAGCAAGATCTCCTGTTCCAGAATTCCTACATTCATCTTTGAGCTGTAATGGTTTTGAGGTCCCCTGAGCAGGTTGCTGCTTTACCTTCACACAGTAATAACGATTTAGTCCAGAGTTTTCTTCAGAAAACATGTCAGAAACTGCAGTGGTGGTATTACTAAGTATCCTGGTTTGGTTTAGGTGACAGTTATGCTTGTCAGGAGGCCTTTCCCTAATGTCATTATAAGAAGAGAGCCTTTGTTGCTCTTTGGATGATGCAGAGGCTTTTGCAATGCGAAAGAAAGTATTTTCATCACTATACTGACGCTGATGTTGATGATGCTGAGACTCATAAGCAGACTGTGCCAATCGAACATCAGTACTAGACAGAGAAGAATGCAGCCTGTTAGCATTTCCCATATTATTGTTTATCCTGTCACCTGGAGAAGATAAACCATAATCTGGAATAAAATCAGGCCTTTGTATTGGGCTGCTACCCCGCCTCCTCTCTGAGGCCTTCTCAGTTGCCCTGGTCACTCGCTTTTGCTGTTCAGCAGTTTCAGCGCTCCAGTCATTTCTGACTGGTGTTCTATGCAGGACTTCAGAATGTTGGGAGCTATGAATGCCCTCTGAATACAGAAGAGGTGCATGATCTCTGTCGTGACCTTTGGTAGCAGCAAAGCTATCACTACGGAGAGGGGGTAGTGGAGGTGGAGGGGAAGGAGACTTTTTTCCCTCGGGGACATACCATACAGGTACAAAATTAGATCTTCCAGCCCCAGAATAGATTGAATCAGATTGGTCTTCCAGTCGTGGATTTAGGTTGTTTTCATATTGTGGTGGACTTGGAAAGGAGTTGATTTTTTCTTCAAATCTTGCATTATCACTCAGCAATGAAGCAGTCTTGCTATTCCCTTGTTTTGGAATTTCCCAGTGACCCACTTTACACATCACATTCTCAGTTGACGCAGCATCTACATTTGACAATGTGTGGTCTGGTGTACTGGAACTAGTAGAAAAAGAACCATATGCAGAATCCCTTTTGCTGGGATTCCCCAGATGATCAATGCTGCTATTGGACTTCGCAGAGGAAATCTGTCCGTACTGATATGTTTGGGGTGTGTGATCCCAGACATCCATGCTTCCAGCAGAGCTGAACTGGCCTGAGGTACGATGTAGATTTGACTGATCCCATGAATTTGAAAGATCAAAGGAACTGAAACAAATAAAAGAAATAAACAGACCTCCATTAATATACTAAATACAAACACAAAACTATTTATTATTACAGTTACCTATTATTGCAATTACCTGCACTTAGATAAAGTTACCTATAAAAACTGCATATTAAAAACCACATTGTTACTTTTAAAAAATTGCAAAGTGTGAAAAAGGCTTCGGCCAAGACTACAGTGAACCCATGGTGATATCCATCAACTGTCTGCTTGATTGACCACTGTCTCAAGGTAGCTTCGATTTGTTCTTAGTATGTCAGATAATACATTGTTTTTAGAAGTTTTCTCTCACTTCTGTCTTATACAGAATCAGCGCAGACAGAACATCCAAGTGAATTAGTTTTATTCAGAAAGACTTACATAGTATTCCTGAAAAAAATGCAATACAACAGTAAAGCAGTAGCCATATACTAAAAAAAAATAAAATCCTATAGAATTCCTAGCAGTTTATTTCTAGCTAAACTGCTATTTGATTGTAGCCTTAGTTAATTTTCAAAATGTAAAATAGGAAATAGAATATATTATTTAATAGTATATAAACTCAACCAACCACCATTGTAGTGTCAATAATGGTAAATGCATTTCTAAGTTCATTATAAATTTGAAGATTTTACATTAAGGGATTTTATGTGACTTGTAACTAAATCATAGTATTATGAATGACTGAAAAAAAATTATACCTTAATTAAGATATTTATTTTTGAAGTCCTGGAGGAATTTTCACAGAAATAGTTATTACTGTGGAGTTTTCAATTATCAAAAAGGCAATGGCATGCCATACCTATTTCTCAGCAAGGAAGTTACACAGTAGTTAGAAAAGTAATTGCATAGTCATTGTTTAAAAAGACACCAGAGAAGAATATACATGTGTTAATTTTAAGAAGCTGCGAGCAATTTCTATTTCTTCCATCAAATACTGCTGGAGGAAGTTATTTGATAGAAATATCTGCTTGGATTTGAAAAGATAATGCATTCAGTACCAGTTGGATGGAAGAAAAAAATCACTTGCCACCCAAACCTGCAGTTATTATTTTTCACCCTTCATAATGCAAAACATTGTGAATTAATAACACTGAGTATATAATTTATTGATATTTTTATAATAGAACTGGCTTCCCACATTAAGCCCAACAAGATAAAATGGTATATTGCTGGCAGTTTAAAGATAAGAACAAAATAAGGCAAGCAACAATTTTCTTACCATTTGAGCTTGCTGCTTGTTAAGTTTCAACAGGAACTCACCTGGAATGATACTGAGAGGGCCATGAAGCACAGACATTGGTCGAGGAGAGTCGTGACGAGGCTGTTTCAGGCTGATTCTCAGTGAATTTGGTTGCATGCCAGGAATGGGGCCTGCAGGCTAGATCGTTTTTTCTGAAATGAGAAGAGTAAAGCAAATACATTTATTGCATATGGAAGTCACACTGTGTGGAAAACAACCTAATTAACAGATGCAATAATAAGGATCACATTACAGAACATTCTTTTTTTAAATTACCTCTGAGAAGAATCCAGCTTTTGTTTTAAATGACACTCCAAACAGTTGAAGAGTCAGTGACAGCAAACAGGAGCATTTTGTTAAAGAGCAGGTAAATCAAATTCAAAACAATTAAGCCTTGTACACAAGCAAGGAAGTACAGAAAAGATGTACTTTGAGCTTGATCAGGGCTTAGACATTCCTCTTGTTTTAATCTCAGAATAGAATAGGTGTGGTTTGTTAGCTATAGGAAAGGCTGAACTTTGATCCAGATGCAAATGCCTGCTGTTTATAGAAGAAAGCACCACCTTGAAAAAGAGAATTCACCCCACATTCTACAGTTGTACATCAAAAAAGCACCATAGCTGAAAACCAGAAGCTTCTCTTTCTGCTTTTATAGCTCATTTAACTTTCTTCTTCAAGCATACAAAAAATGCCACAAGCATGAAGGGGCCTTTTATGCCTTCTTGACTTTTCTTGCTCCACAGTGGGCCCAGGGTGAAGAAGCAAGCAAATGGTTATTAATCCTATTAAGGGCTAGTTCTTAATCAGCTCAAGGACTTTCCAAAATCTAAAGCTGCCACTAGTGCACCAGGTACAGGCACTTGGCTGAAGAGTAGTCCTAGAATACCCAAGTTGGAAGAGAAAACAGCAGCAGCTGTATTGAGAGGATAATGTGCAAGCAGAGAAGTGAACGTTAACATGGGTAACTGAGAGTTTTGGTATGAGTGCTGTTGCATCATGCCTTTATTCACAGCTTTTCTTAATCAATGATTGCAAAGCTGACACCATTAACAGCTGGTATGTTATTTACTATACCAAGAGTTTGCCATTCTAGATAAAAGGAATGAAACCTGGCTGCTTCAAAATTTTGCATAACCTGGAATGGATAGAGGTTATAGCAGAAAGTGCATGTGAAGAAATAGTCTGTGCTGTTAATCTAAAACAATATTCCCATCTCCCAAAGATCCTCAAATCCCACTTAACTTCCCGCATGATGCTGTCTGCTGTTTGAATAAACCTAATTCCACCAACCTAACAACAATTACTGTGCTGATCACTTCATGATCAACTGATGCACGATGGGGCTATCTAATGTAAAGGATAAATAATACAGAGAACTATTACATTTATAGTACAATCCCTACAGATGATTACATACAATTCATAGGATTTATTTCTTCATGAGCACAGGTAGAACTGCAGACTTTTACTAAAAAGGTTAACTTTTATGTTTGCTTATTTTTTATTTGTTTAATTTATAACCTTTTTTTCCCCCAGAGCTCATGGTGTCTTATATAGGAATCTCCATTTTATTTTCAGAACAACAGCCTTGTGAAGTAGGATAGGCTGAAAGAAAGTGATTAGCCCAACATTACAAGTCAGTTTCCATGGTTAAGAGTAGACTAGAACCTGTGTCTCCCTGGCCCTCGATCTACAGTTAACCACTACATCACAATAACTCTATGAATGCGATGTAGCCCAGTTATAGATACTTTATTTCTGGATGGACTCAGGTTAAACACTTACATCTCAGGTAAGGCCATAAACTGAAACACTGAGGCAACTGACTATAAATTATTTGGGGTCAGATGCTATGAAAGGCTTGATTCACCAAGTGGCAGTTTCTTATTTGACTGAAGCATTATAATTGGTACAGTATAAGGTACAGTAGGCAACTTTTGGTGGCTGTAAGTCGTTCTTTTTGAACAATGGGTGCCAGGGGAGGGAAGAACTGATGCAAAGTGGTCAAGACTATGGTAGGATTTTTTTCCCTGTCTCTCCTGGTTTTGCACCGGGGGGGGGGTAGTTTCTCTATTTTTTTAAAATGAATTTAAACTTATTGTAGGGCTTACAAAAACTATAGTACATGTTTTCTATTACAAAATAGCAGGAAACCATAGTACTACTTTGTAGTTAGGAGAGGTTCTGATGAATACAGAAAAGCAGTTTAGGAGCTGAATGGAGCCCTGAGATCTCAAGTACCCCAGCCCTTAGTAAAAGCAGAGTGAACTATATGTAATGTAAGTGAAACATGAGATTACAGAACAACTACATAGCATATATTCATCACACAAGAAGGAAAGTAAGGTGGGATTTTAGAATATATTTCTGGATCACTGAGAAGAGCTAAGAACTTCTGCATCAGAAGGAAGGGAGAATACTATAATTGTAGCCAACACCATATCTCATGGAGCTACTTAAAACCTTCACAATGTAACTCATGGCCATGTAAAATCATTTTGAAATGATGTTTTATATTTTAGAATATCCACCACTACAATAATCTTCCTGAACAGTCAGGCAAGACTGCTACATGATTTGACTAACAGTATTTTTGTCCCCTGAGCAAAAATAACAGAGAAAGATTGATAACATGGACATGCCAACTTGTATAGAAACATGAATGTAGCTTAAAGCCCACATTAAAAGGAATTTGCCTGAACATGTGTGAAACCCCAGACTTAGAAACAAACCATAGGATCAGAAACAAAGGAGAGAATGATTAGGGTTCTTACATGACTCTGTGGATGCCTTTTAAAAATTTCAAAAATGTGTGTGTTTCTGAAATAACATCTTTACTAAACATAATTATGTGCAAGAGGACTGGCTTATATTTTACTGTATTATTCAAATAATTTACTCAACACTGCTGGTAAGTATAAACAGGAAAAAACCCAGCATTCCTTTTTTTTTTTTTTTTAAGATTATTCTATTAGTCAATCCTTTGGGCAATATTTTCTGATGCCTAAGACCATCATATATAAGCTATCCAAAATAAACACTAATTGAAAATATCTGAAAACTAACAGAGAAATAGCAAGGCATTAAAAATATTGTAAAGCAATGTGGAACTATTTTGCAGGCCACTACAAGTAAGATTATAGTTTTCTGTTACACTAAATATGAGAGAATGAAAACTGAAGAGCTCACAAGGAATCTGTCATTAAAAGAAATAACACATCTGAAAGTAAACCTTTCCTCTTAATGTTTGTAATGGAGCATACACATATGATAACTATATGCATTTTGTTGCAATTAAGAAAAATAAGATTTGAGATGATAAAAGAACAAGAGTAAACATTACAGCTTATTTTTATACTAAGTAGACTATGTTTTATAATGTACACACACACGCACACACACATAAATGTTATCTATTGTCATATAATAGATTAAGTATGTGTTATATGTGTATGTGTATCATCTGGCAAGATTTTCCTCTCTTCTAAATGGTGTAGCTTATGTAGCAAATTCAGCAAGTACTGAAAACTGGCAGAACTGAACAACAGATAAACAATTCTGAAAAACAAACTTACAAATAAACTGAAAAACATTTACAAATAAACTGAACAAATAAACTGAACTGAAGATTTACCAAAAAAACCCTTACAAATAAACTGAAAAACAATTCTGAAAAAGAAATAAACTGAAAAATAAACTTACAAAAAAGCTTGGACATCACACAATGGGGAGCAAATATTCTATCAACTCCCCACTACAGTGCTGCCAGAAAATCAAAGACCTAAAAACAGAAGAAGATGAAATTATGGTTTAATTTGATGTCACAGGACTCTTTACGTCCATAGATCCAGAACCAGCAAAAGAATCCATGGCAGCAGTACTACACAACACACCTGACCTAACCAAATATACTTAGATCAAAACACCCAGAATCATGGACCTCATCAACCTCTGCCTCATTATCTACTTTCAGTTTGATGGACAAATATACCAACAAATCAAAGGATCACCCATAGGATCACCACTCTCAGGACTTATACCAAGAGACTGTAAAGCAGCATTTAGAAAACATGGCACTCCCACACATACCACCAAAAGTATGGATCTGGTATGTAGACAATACCTTTATCATAATAAAAAAAGGAACAACTAGAGAGGACACATTAAACTATCAACAAAAACTTCAAAGGAATAAAATTAAGAAGAAAACAGCAAAACACTACCCTTCTTGGATATCCTCATCAGCAGAGGAAACAATGGCAAATTAGAAATGCAAGTCTATCGAAAAACAATCGACACTAACCAAGTGTTCCATCACCAAAGTAACAACCCAACCTCCCTCAAGAGGAGCTGTATAAGAACATTATTCAGACAAGTACAAACACACTGCAGCAACCCAGAACACCAGAGAAAGGAAAGAGATGCCTATACAACATCTTCCAACAAAATAGATACCATGCAACTTCATCAAAAAGTGCCCGCACAACCAACACAAGCTATAAAAAGGATAACACTGCCATAGATCAAAAACATCCAATGGACTATTACAACCACATGGCATCACTGTAGCACACAAACCAACTAAAGCCCTTCAACACCACTTAAGTAAACCAAAACACCCAGTAGCCCCCAAATTAAAAATGAGTAATCTACTGTACAACATACAGTATAAGGACTATAACTGCCACTATGTACGACATACAGCAGAAGACTAGCAGAGCGCATCCATAAACACCAACTAGCAATCAGAAGACACAATGATAACTCCTTAATCTCACAACATATGGACAGACTCAACTATAGTTTCAACTGGGAAATTGTGAGCATCCTAGATCAAGCTAAATCCAAAAATGCTAGTGAATTCCTGAAAGCTTTGCATTCAGACAAATCAGCCATCAAAAGACACATAGAGATAAACCACATTTACACATCATTCAAAAGAGACAATAAAAAAGCTAAGA